TGTAAGACTGGAGTTTTCTTACTGTTGTTTTTTTTTCCCCTCTAGTAAACCCTGTTCATTAAGTTGTTGTTATAGACGTATCAAAATTAAATGTATACAGATGTTACATTGTTTCACTGCAAGATTACATTTACTTAAGTTGATACAAGACTTCCATACCTAATTTCTGAAGAGGTGCAGAAACTGTTCAGCATGTATGCACTAACATTCTTAAATGTGCACATGATTACTGGAATTGTATATAGAGCCAGTGTGAAGAACCAGTTGTTCAAGTGGTTATAGCTGTGGGAACAATAAATGATTGTGCCTATAACAAGCTGCACAAATGTTCACGTAGATACCTGGGGGTTTTAACTGCTTACAGTGTTACTGCTCCAACAGTCAGATGAGCAAGAGGATGACTTGCTAAAGTCCAACTCCAGGCACTTGGATCCAGGAATGTGAGGAATATTATCTTAAAAATGCCATAACAATCTGTAATCTATAGGTATGTTTTATGTGTTTATTGATTGAACTGCTTGCATTTTTGCTTCTGTTTGTGTTCAGAAGTGCCTTGGCCTTTATAATGCTGAAGAGTTAGGTACCTACTTTGTGCTGAAACCTGAATTTTCAGCTAGATGATTCTGGTAAACTTGCTGAGAGCCAGCCAGATTATATGTATCATACTTCTTGAAAAAAAATCTTCCTCTATTTAGAAGAGATGCCACTCTATTAAACCTAGTTGTTAAGCTGTGATCAGGCTTGTTTTTCAAGGAACTGAGATGTCAAAAAATACATCTGACCTGTGCAATGGAGGAGGTTGCAGAGACCCCACAAAGCAGTACTGTATCAGCTGTCTCTGAAGCATGACAGCCTTCCTCAAGTGATGGTATGTGTGAACTTGTCTCCTAGCTTGAAGTTAGTGGTACTTTAGTGTTACCATTCTCATCTGAAGACCTGAGGTATCAATTCTGCAGTGTTTTGTCTCTTGAAGGTGAATCTTGCACAGTAAGGGCATACCATCGATATTTATTACTTAGTGGGCAGTGTTTACAAATGTCTTTGTAGCATAAGGCCATAGTTAAACAGGAATGTTTCGATTTTTCAGTGAAAGGTTTTAATCCTTATTGTGAGTGGCTTGAAGGAAAATGTGGCTGTAAGTAGGAGATTTGAATTCATGTGAGTTTAAAATCTGTTAGGAAGCTTGCCTGCAACTTTCTCTGCTGTGGGAAAGATGTGTTACAAGACAGTGTGTGTGCCCGGATTATTCTCATGTATCTCAGTGCAGATGATGTAGAGCTTCTGCATCAATTCTTTTGCATTTTTCATTGAACCCATTGTTTGATTTATACAGTTAAAGGCATGCTGTAGATCATCTTCTTGTTGCAGCTTTACGCTTTCAGAGCTTATCTGGGTGTGGTGTAGTATGAATTTCTCAGCTAGTATCTGACAATCTGGTTTGTGGAATCAGTTTTGCAAGAACGATGTTGTAGCAATTATGCACCCCTAGCGCTACATAGCTGTGTGCTTCTCAACGACAGAGATACCTTGCATGCCCTTTACAGGCAGGAAAGCTGAAGCATGGAGGTCCTTAAACAACTCAATGGCAGAATGTCAGTGTCAGCCTAGTAGCCACTGAATCTTACCACATATAGTCTGTGTATGTTTATTAGCCAAAGATAGTATGACGCTTCTCACTATTTTCATTCCGTAGGACAGAATCCAAGTTTTCTATCTCAAGGAAGACTGACTAATAATGCTCAGTGGACACTGTGCTCAGTGAAATGAGAGTCATGCTACAAATCCTGTCTGCAAGGAGGATCACTGTGGCTGTGGGAAGTCCATCTGATGACTTGAAAAACATTCTTAGTTGTCTAAATCTGTTTCTACACCAGCTTGCTTTGTTTTACCAGAGCAGTTTCTTTTTTTTGCAACTACTTGTGTTTTTACTGATGAATAAGCCAACCACATTGCCTTACATAAGTTTTTCAAATATTTCTCTGAAGTTTAAAAAAAAAGTTGAAAAATGAAAACATCTAACCATCCTTCCCATACCATATTCTAATGCAATGACCTAACTGAATTTAGTATGTATCTTTTTAAGAAGCGAAGACATGTAAAGAGCTAAATGCTGAAATTCTAACTCTAAGAAGTAATTTGGGGAGGAGAAGAAGGTAAGGTTCTCATGTACCTGGAAATGTAATTGCAGTGTTTCCTCACTGTAATGATGTATTGCTGCATCCACCCTTCTCTTTGTAAAAGATGAGTCGCTTCAAGTTAGACATTGTTCTAGCCAGCAATTACATCTGAAAGAGGCAAAAGTGGTAATTTGTCTGAACCACATAGGTCAACCATAAAGCAGAATAACCTAATGGTTTTGTTGCTGCTATGTTGGAAAGTAAGCTGTTGGTCTTTCTGGAAGAATTTTATCTGAAGTATTTTAGAATGAGATCCAGAATAGAAGCCCTGAAATCAATATTAAGACACTTACAAACCACAACTATTATAATCTGATTTGATACTTCTTTTAAACTGCCTCAGAAATGGAAAAGGATTTTGCAATTAGGGAATAATATGACAAACAAATTGGCCTCCTCCCATAACTTTTACCAGAAATGGCTAATTTATCTGTAAATGATGTAGGTCATGCATTCTCTTTACATTATTGGGACATACAGACTTTTGCTGTGCTTATGCTGTAAATGTAAGAACAATCAGTTCAGAGAAAAGAGAGAGCATGCTGATTTAGTTGGTATTCCTAAGCACTTGATTCTTGTGTATCATTAATAAATTATATATGTGGTCTTTATTGACTTCTATAGGATGGTGAATTCAACTGCATTCTAGCATGTGGTCTCTTTTCGTAAAGTGAAGTTCATAATGGTCACATCGTAAGTAACTGGCCAAATATTTGGGTCAAAATACAGCAGACTTCTTGTGTTGGACTTGAAGTATAATGCACCAGTGATCATCTTTTTTTGATTTGGGTTTTTTTGTTTGTTTGTTTGGGGTTTTTTTTTTGCTTTGACTGTGCTTCAGAAGATGATATATTTGGTGTATATCACAGTTCAGTTTTACTTTTTCCAAACAGGACTGCAGTATGAATTTGGGTCAGTTTATCATTCTTGGTCAATTCTGATTGTACTGTGCCATGCACAAACGAGTCTTTCTGAGCAATTTCGAACAGAAGAAATTTAACTTCTGTGGACCTTGCAGCTTAGCGTATTTTTCAGTTGCATAGTTAAAAATTAGGTTGCTGCTTCTGTCCATTGTTTTTCGTGATCACATAATAATCTATACCCAGTCCTTTTCTATTCAATGTATGTGTACAGGCTATCTATGTTAGTATTCCTTGATTTTGTTCGTGTTCTGTTAGAAATGCATCTCTTTGCTCTTTGTAGTTTGATTTTCTTCAAGCATATATTCAACTTCTTTTCAACATCAAAAATGTTTTGTTAAAATAGTGAGAGTGTGTTTTAATGATGCTGGTAATTACAGCTTCATGATTAGTTCTGGTACTGCATGAAGTATGAGGGGGGGAAGTAGATTCAATATATTTGTGTTCTAAAATATTTTGGAAGACGAATGACTTACAAAGAAACATTAGGAAATAAAGCAAAGAGGAAGGTTTTTTAGAGAGTAGGTATCAGTTCAAAGAATCTCTGCAAGCCAGCTTTTTAAGGTTTTGTATTCCTTATTTGTTTACTTTGCTAGTGATACTAGAGTTGAGAATGTTTTATTACAGCAGCACGGTGAGATGTCAATATTCCTGTTAGCAAAAATAGTGTAAATTTGGTATGAGCTAAGGTACACGAAGCTGGAACTGCTCTGACTGCAATGGTGGAACTGTTCAAGAAGCTGTATGTTTGAGTGGAGAGGTTTTTTTTAATACATATTTTATTATTCTGAAGATGTTAGTTCCTTTCTCCCTAACGATTTAATTCTGAAAGAGTTGAGTACTGTTTGCTACTTGGTTTCTATTCGGGTTACATAGGGTAACTCCCTTCCTTTCTCTCCTATTGTGGTTAAGGGTACGTACTGCTTTGATACAGTTAGAAAGTTTCTGTGCAGTTTTGCTACTGTTCTGTCATGTGGAAACGCATCTGGCCATATCACTTAGTAAAATCTTCTTTTAAAATATTTTGCAGCACAAAAATGACTCTTCCGCTGAAGTGTTTTGCAATTAAAAATACATATATGTTCCTGTAACTCTCTCTTTGCTTTTTTGATAAGTATGCATATCTTCTGTAAATGGAATTGGCTTCTTCAGGTGAAAGTAATGTGCTAAAATTCCAATTTAACATAGAAAATGGAGCACAGATTTTTTTTTTTTTTTTTGCGAAACAATGGGGAAAATACTGTAGTAATTTTTTTAAAATAGTTTAATACTTGTCCTGTGAAATCTGAAGCATTGAAAAGATCTGAATTCTACAACAGCTAAGTTCTTCCTGATATCCTGTATCCTCCTGTAGTCTAGAATAAACGGTGTGTATTTGAGCAATGCTCACTCATTTATTAGTGGGGTCTACTCTTATTACTATTACTGCCCTTAAAAAAAGAAAGAGAATATTTATGTACAATTTGATTATCCAAAAATGTGTTTAAGAACTTTGTTCTATGTATTTTGTTACTCACCTTTAATGTCTTCCATTCTTCACCATGGTTGAGAGATAATTCTCAATTTTTTTTAGTTTCTATCTTTGATGTTTCAGTTTTGTTTGTAATTTTCAGAATACTGAGATATTTGCCTTGTCTATACAAAGATATTCTGTATGCACAGCCAAAATGCAAAATACTTGTCTTGCAAAAGCTTTCTTGCATTTGTTAGTGTTTCATATAAAAGTTCTTCTGTATCAAGTTTGTTATTGGTTTGGACATCCTTGTAGATGGATTTCTTTCTAGGCATGAAAAGTGGTCGGACAGATCTGCGCAGAAGTGGCCTGATTTTATGCTGTTAATGTTATGTTTCATTTTATTCTGACATAGTATTGTGTTTTACATTACTCATCTTTTTCTTCTAGGCAAACGGAGTGGGCGTAGTAAAAAATGGAGAGAGATGCTGAAGTTGCCACCTGTTAGTCATTGTGAAGGTATTAGATGCTCAATCGGTAGGTGTCCTGTAGAATGGTCTGTCTGATTTTTTTGAGAAGGAATGGTAAGGGTTTCGTGGTGTTAACGGAAAGGATTCTGTCTTACTTCTGAATGCTAATTAGAAAAAAAAGCTATTAGACTTTTAATGTGATGGAGAATTGATGAGAAGATAAATTTATGAGAAGATAAAAGCTGTATCACAGCTCCTTGTTTGTTAAAGGAACTGCTCCTAAAGGATAATTTTACAAAGCCATGAATTAGAAAAAGGAATCATGTTGTAATTTGAATGATGTGGTAATGTATTTCCCTTTTTTTCTTAATGTCTTGTAATAATTTTTTAACCTTTTCTGTTATTATCTTGTATTCTGTCTTTCCAAACAATCTTGTTTGCCTTGGGGTTGCTATTCCACAGTATTCTTGCTTTCCACCCCCCAACCTAAATGAAACTTAACCATATCATTCAATGTGTTTTTAATAAATTTGATAGTCTGTAAGAGACAAATGGGGCTGGAAGTGAGTGTTTCACTACTCTTTGGGATCATTGGGTGTTTTTCATGTCTTTGCTAAATATCTTAATGTAAAATCTTCACATTTTAGTGATGTTTTTCTGACCTATTCTCAAATGGGAGTAAGGACCATGCTATGACAAAAGTAAAAATAAATAAAGATATTTACTTATTATTTCTTTCTCAGAAAGAGACTATAACCAGCTCTGTGACAAACAGCCAATAGGAAGACTTCTCTTCAGACAGTTCTGTGATTCCAGACCAGATTTGAAAAGATGCATTGAATTTCTGGATGCAGTGGTAAGCAGTGAGAAATTGAAGATGGATAGCAGTAGGCAATAGCTTATACATTTTTATTTATAAAAAGTTTGATTTTTGTACTGGTTTTGACTGGGATGGTTAATTTCCTTCATTGTAGCTCATGCTGCGTGATGTTTTGGATTTTTGACCAAAACAGTGTTGATAATACAGGGATGGTTTTGTTATTGCTGAGCAGTGCTTACACAGAGTCAAGGCCTTTTCTGCTTCTCACCCCACCCCACCAGAGAGGAGGCTGGGGCTGCACAAGAAAGTTGGGAGGGGACACGGCTGGGACAGCTGACCCCAACTGACCAAAGGGCTATTCCATACCATGTGATGTCATGTTCAGCAATAAAAGCTAGGGGAAAGAAAGAGGAAAGGGGGAAGTTAGAGTTATGGTGTTTGTCTTGCCAAGTAGCCTTCATCACACATAATGAAGCCCTGCTTTCCTGGAAATAGCTAAATTTCTGCCTGCCAATGGGAAGAAGCAAATGAATTCCTTATTTTGCTTTGCTTGTGTGTGCAGCTTTGCTTCATGCATGAAACTGTCTTTTATCTCAACCCACAAGTTTTCTCACTTCTACCCTCCTGATTATCAGTGCGCGGGGGGGAGGGTGAGTGAGCGGCTGTGGGGGGCTCAGCTGCCTACCAGGGTTAACACACAACAATTCTATAAAATATTTTCTCTAAACACATCAGTGTGCTAATTTACTCTTTGCCAACTTCGAAGCTGTAACTTTTCAAAAAACTCTGGCTCTGTTACTTGAAGAAAGATATTTAATATTTACTATAAAATCTCGGCCATCTTGGTATGGTCAGAGCTACAAAAATGGGCATGATGGGAGTGAGAGAAATAATTTTAGAAAGACATGCTGCTTGACTTCTTGAGCCTAAAAAACCGTGTGTACAATGACTATTACTTATGATAGTCAGGCGTGGAAATGTTGTAAACATAGACTTGAAAATGTTGCAACTTGCATGGAAGCCCTAGGCTAGACAGAATGTGCTAATTAAAAAAAATAAAATGGAGATGGAAATTTAGGGAACCATCTATGGAAAGAGAGAAACCAGATTTTGGAGACCAAGGGAAAAGGAAGTGTTTTATCGTGATGCATTTGCATTCTGGTATCTAACACTAAAGAATGAGGGGAGGGAGGAAGGAAGTGTGCCCACAGCCATGTTTTGTAAAATATCCTCAGCCAAAACCCTCATGGGGAGGGGGAAGGTAATGAGAAGAGTAGGCAGGCACACGACAGTCCTTAAGAGGAGAGAATAATAGCTCAGAGCTTTTTATTCTTTGTCCCTCTTAGTTAATCCAAGCACAGTAAGATATAGTCTTAAATTGAGATTGCTGCCAAAAGAACAGTTTTCCTCATCCCACTGTTTTTGTTCTTATATTCAGGGAACAAATGACCAAAGATGATGGTCAAATTATGCTGCTGCTTACATGCATCCCAAAATACAGTCTCGGAATGCAGGACGGCTCTGAGAGGTGCAGGGTGTAAGGAAGGGGATCTGTGCCCCTCACTTTGCTGTATCTTCCTTCCCCCTATGGGAGTATAACCTGAGGCACTAGATCAGCTAAAAAGGAACTTTAGTGTCAAATAAGTAGAATTGCCTTATATTAGTCAATGAATCTTTGCACAGTTTGGCTTACTCCCCAGGCACGTTTCACCATACTTTTGTGACTCTTAGGAGCTGTTCTAGCACCGAATTCCAGAGACCAATTTGACAGTTGGAGACATAGAATGGATTGAATGGAAATCCAGAACAGCAGAGCTAAATATCCTGAAGTGAATGTAAACCCGAGCCTTTAATGAGCATCGCACAACGAGGAGACCACTTACAACTGTGGATGTACCCTTAATGACTACAACTTCTGTACACATTTTTAATCCTTAAAAACTTAGATATGGAGTAGCAGAATCTTAGACAGCACAAAGAAGAAAAAAATCTTAGGCATGACTGTAAGGCAGCTGTGTCTTTGCTCTACAGATGCAATTTTTCAGATGAAATTGTCTGTAAGAAGTAACTGTTTTACACTAACTGAAAATTTTGAATTATTTTGAAATATGCAGCCTATAAGGTTATGTGGATTGCAACACTTCTGTGAATTAACAAAGACTCATAGCTGAGATAATCTGATGTAAGGATGATTTCACAATTTACCTTTTCTTTAATTTATTTTTTTTTAACTTCCATTTGAAAAATCATGGTGAAGAAGTATGCTTGGGAATCACTGAAACAGAAGTCCCTTAAGAGCTAAGATAATCTCTGATTGGTGACTCTCATGATCTGAAAGCTAGCATGCTGTCTTGATCAAGGAAGTGAGATAAAATACCTACTATCTCTTACAGATGGTTCTGTAAGTTAGCCTGAGTCCCTTTTCTGGGCTGGACTTCAACAAGCTTGTTTAAGCTTTTTTTTGGGGGGGGGGCAAGGGCAAGTTTGAAGGGTTTTTTTGTCGGTTTTGTTTGTAAGGCTAAGGTTGTGGGGTTTTTACTTGGGGTTTTGCCAATTTTTAATTTTTTTTTATTTTAAATAAATTTTGGACTTAATCTTTCAGAAAATAAACTTTCTGGCATAAAATGCCATAGTCTTAAGAGCCTGGCATCTTAATTAAAAGAGTTTTCTGACTCCGTTACATGGAGCAATGTGATTTCAGCAGCATGATTCTTTCAGGAGGCCAAAATGGCAAAATCAAGGTATTACAATGCTATGTTGTCTACCTGTACTGAGTACTAAGACTGCTTAAGCTTTAACTCTTGAGAAGGTGTGACCTTAAAGTCTGGAGTCAGCTTGGCTTTACAGAAAGAAGAGTTGTGAAATAATTGAATAAAAGTGACAGAAATTAAAGTGAGAAATTACAGTTATCCAATCATCTAGTGACTCATTTCACTAGCTGGGGACAAGGTTACTCAAGTATGAAAAAGAATGGGTGACAGCTCAAACTTCCCTCTTAAGCTCTGTGAGTAACAGAAATTAGTTGACAAGGCTGTCTCTTAAACTTCCTTTTAAATTACAGTATCTGCTTAAAACAGTATGCCTAACCGTTTGTATTAACTTAGTGACTACTATGGCATAATTGAAAATATTAAAGGTGGTAAATGCACTGCTGTGGTTGATTAACTGTTCTGACCTGCTCAGGTTGTTTGGTAGTTGCAGAAAAATTCCTTACCATTAGACTGATCGTTGTGAATTAAAGTACCAAAAACAATAGCTTGCAGTTGTTTATGGATTTGAGTACTGTGCTGAAGTGGTTGATACCATAATGTCTCAGCAGAAGAAGATGTTGATGACTTAGTAGTGAGTCAGTGTGGGTTAGTTGCAATTGATTGCAGAACTGGAGTTCAGGGATTCTGTTATTTCCAGTATTTTGTGTGTGTGTGTGTGGTTGGTTCTTGAACTGTCATTTTTCAGTGTTCTAGTTTTCTTTATAAAGGTACATAACTTCTGATTAGATAATCACTTGGAACTTCCTATGAGGTTCTTAATGGTCATTGCCCCAATATGCCAAACTGTTGTTCTGTATGCTACAGTCCTCCATTCTGGAGGTCTGCCATACATTCTTGTTCCTAGGTGCATGCATTTACATTCTGAGATACGAAATAAGCTTTGACTGAGTTGGCCCAGCTTACGAAGCTAATACAGGTTGCTGTTTGAGATTGCTCTTTTCTAATTCATCTTTCCCCAGATTCTGTGTTATCTTTAAATGTTGTAACTTCTGATGTCTGCTTCTAGGTTATTCTTTAAAATTATTAGTAGTAATTAGTCCTTGGAGTTTTTCAATACCCATATCTGATGGTTTGGGTTTTTTTTGTTCCATAAGTAACTACCTCTGGAACTCTATTAAGCTACCAGTTGTTTATCTGCAAAACGCACTGTATTGCACAATGGTCTTTTTCTACATCACTGTACCGTATATTACTAAGTCACAAACTTCACAAAATTTTGTATCTTCTCAGTTTTATTTTCTCAAAAACTGAAGTAGGGTTTGGTTTAGATCTCACTTATTTCCAGTTAACATGACCTTGCAGAAAGTAGTAGTTTTATCCTGGTTTTACCCAGGACTGTAGTAAAGAAAAATACATGAAGGGAAAAAAAATACAGTGAAGAAAAAGCTGATTATTGTACTCTTATTTAATTATCTCCCATCTGGATCACTCTGCCCTATGATACATAAATACTATTTCATTGTAATTGATCTAATTTAACCTCTAGGATGCTGTTTCTGTAATTGCATTTAGACTAATTGTTAGTTTTCGTATGTTTTCCAAAATTTAAATTCCATGCGCTTTTTTTCTTAAGACTGATCTTCATATGTTTCACTATGTAGCCTAAAAATCTTTAAATAGATTTTAAACAATGAGAGCCTTCAGTTCCTTTTATATTAGGAGCATTGTGTTACTCATGATAAAATTTACCTAGCATCATGTAAAACACTGTAGTGCCAAATAGCTCTGAACATAATTTAATTTTCAATTCCATTCCCCTAGGCAGAATATGAGGTATCTTCAGATGAAAAGCGTATAGACTGTGGCCTGAAAGTTTTAGAGACATACTTCACTAATGGGGTAAGTATATTATATTGCAAAATACTGTCTGAAGTGTTTTGTAAATGTCGGATAAATAGAGACCTAAGTGGTTGCATTGGTTTTTTTTTAGTAAATTGACTTTCAAACTTCATTAGTCCCATTTTTGTCCTTCTGAAAGGTATACTGCCTTCTAAAATTGTGAAACGTATCAACTTGAGCAGAAACCTTGTCTGATCTCTGCTCTTAAGACTACTACAGTTATGATTTATTCTCCTCTGTTTTCGAATTAAAATACTGGTCTCAAGTAAAGGTATATTTTTAAACAAACTCATTTAGCATCCAAAGAAAACTTGTGAACAAATTAACTCAGAGTTTTGTAGTCTGAAGACATGAGAATGAGGAATTCTTGAAATCCTCAGGCTTCTTTCAGACTCTTGTGTGGCCCTGGTTGGTTTGCTGTAAATTTTCAGAATTGCTGCAGGTGAAATGCTGTGCTGTTTTGTTTTGTTCTTGAGCATTGTGTTTCTCCTTGTTTTGCATGGAGATCATTAACAGCTGATCTTTTGCATATATTAGATCTCACTGATTAATCTTTAAGAGTCTGTTCTTTGGTAGCCGATAGAAGCTTTTCTGTGGTTATATAATTAGATGTTTGCTTCCTATGAATAGATGCTCCTTTTCCTTCTCTTACTTTGGTCATCTTGAGAAAGCTTTACTCTAAATGAAGGTCTTGGAGATGCCCTAAAAGCAGACAGACTCCAAGTTTGCCACATCTCTTCTGATAATTTCTTTGGGACTACCATAAATCACATGCAGTTTTTGCAAAAAAATCAGATTTTTTGGGCTGGTTTGAAATAGTTTCCCAAATTGTGTGTACGTTTGTTTAGCTTTCATTCTGTCTTGCCAAACCAAATAGATAACTTGCTTTTGTGGTGGTAGACTTAAGGAAAGAAAAAGAAATTTGACTTACTGCCAAGTTTTTTTTTCCCCGGGTAGTGAAATAGTAAATAACTGTAATAGCTTTCAAGGCATTTTTCTGTAATAAGGAACAAATAAAAATTTTGCCTGAATATGACTTTCTTGGTTTTTCTCTTTCGCCAAACCATTCCTTTCCTTTTCCTGCATTAGCAGATTACATTTCACTTTAAATACAGAACTTTTACTCATTCTATTGATTTACAAAATTGCTTTAATCGTTGCCTTTTTTTTTTTTTAAATTATGTAAAGTCTGCAGCACACTTGCCAGAAATACCTCAGGAAACAGTAAATGAATGTAAAGCAAGACTGGAAAACAATCCTTCTAAGGATCTTTTTATGGACTGTACTAGGTAAGTTGAAAATGCATAGTGCTAAGTTTGAGTATCACAGGAGAAATTCTTGTGTTTCTGAGAGAAAGGAAAAAGGTGAAGTTATTACACCCAGGAGCATCTGGTCTCTGAAATGAGTGTAGGTAAGAAATTTGGAACAGATTTATTAAAGGACTAGGTTTCCTTCAGATGGGATGTAGATGTTTGACTTTTGCAGACCTTTTTCTTTAATGCTGTTTTTGCATAAAATCACACTATTATCTGCTACCAAGTATTCTTTAAGATAGAATCGTATTTCTCTTTATTATATCCTTACCTTTTGAGTGACTTCTCTTCCGTGATGAATATACTTAGAAAAATATGAAGTTATAAACTGGAGCTTGAAAGGTTTCTGAACAATGTTACACAGTTCATGGTTCTTGAAAATGGGTTGAACTGAGGTCAACAGTTAGATACCATTAAGATGGCTGATTAGAGGATCAATTGTGATAGTTAACACAAACGAATACAACTTGGTTTTGTTCGGAAGTTGTGAAGTGGTATTTCACGTAGCAGCAGCAGGGAAGGCTTTTCTTGGAGGGATGGTACATGTTTACCAGTGTTGCATGTCTTTCTAAAGCCCTTGTGTTTCTAATATTACTGGTTCTTCAAGGCATGCTTGATCATGTCTGAAGGATTACAACACGTTTTGTCACTGCTTGGGTCATCTCCTTGGCAACAAAAATCAGCATACTTTATAACAACCTGAGATTATAAGATTGAAAGGGATGTGTGAGAACACCTAGTAAAACATGTCTCAAATGGAGGATCTGTCATGTAGGTCATCCCCTTTCCTCTGTCCAATAAATATCTGAATACAGTTTGAATGACTTGTTTTCCTTCCCTCCCCCCCTTGGTGTATTTAATTTAAGGAGAATGCTAAGGTACCTGGTGTACGGTTTTGGATATGGCATTTAGTATTTCAATTTCAAATCCTAGAATAAACTTTTACTCACCAGTCTCCAAAGAATGTATGAAAACTTGTAGATACTTTCCTGTAAATACCTTTCAGAGGTCATATTTGTAGGGTCATACATGCATTGCATAGCTACTCAGAGGCTGATGTTTAGGTGGGCGTGAACACACTTAATGAGAATGCAGAGGTCAAACTTTCTAGTTACTATAAGTAACAGTAGTTTGGCATTCACTAGTGTTTTGACAGGAACAGTTTTCTGTGACAGGCACCCACTTTGTGAGACACCTAGGTTAAAACCATTGGAGAGCACAGTGGCAATGTGTTTCTGCCTACAGCTTTGTTGATATGAAGTTTAAGTATGTTTTAATAGATTGATAGTACCTCCTGCTTCATCAGTTTTTTCAGTATAAGATTGATTTTTATTTTCCTGTTGCTAGAATTGTCCATGAATACCTAAGCAGAAGACCTTTTGAAGCTTACCAAGAAAGTGTGTATTTTTCCCGTTTTTTACAGTGGAAATGGCTGGAAAAGTAAGTTTATTTATAATGATTGCATTATAATTTTGCTTTGCTTTGTGGCCAGTTCTGCTTGTTAGGCTAGAAATGCTAAATGACACTGCCCATCTAAGAAATTGTGGTCTGAAAGACAAGATGTAAAGGATGATGGTGATGGGACAGTGAGAGTGTCAATACTCCAACGGAAGTATCTGTTCAGGAGTCTTTAAGTGGTAAATTTGTATTACGTAAATGTAAATTTATTAACATAGGGATATCTGGCTGTCAAGTGTGCAGTGGGAAACCAATCGTTCTTGGCAATGCTATCATCCTTTAGTTTCAAACTTGATCTAATTAGTGGTTAATAAGCAGATTAATCTAGTTTTATAACCCACTGGGTGACTGGGTAAGTAATCAGTTTTTCAGGGTGATACAGACACAGATCTAGTAATTACAAGACAGCAAGATTTGTATGTATCAGAATCTAGATTGGGCTTTTAAATTAATACCAAATGAGTGTACAAACTCTTTCAGAAGGCTGAAATGGGTACAAATCGATTCTAATTCAGCACTGCTGGGTGTCACGATGACATATTCAAACATTAAGGTGCTTGAGCATTGGTAAATTTCAATTATCCAGTGTCTTTGTTTGACTCAATTAGTAGCAAAAGCCAGGAAGAGAACTAGGGAAGTTACTCAAACAATTAAACCAAATTCTCTACCAGAACAACCTCCATTTGCTGTCCTGAGAACAAAGCTCCATTAATAATGAATGCTTTTAAATCAAAACAAAAAAACCCCAGCTCACCACCATGAAATAGCCCTGCTCTGATACATGTTTAGGAGTGCTTTAGCATAGAATGGCTGACACCTTTACTACCCCCAGTTATCTCTTCCTCTTCCGCTACATCAATACCTTAACAATTTGGCTCTTGAACTCCTATTGCATACCACAGCTCTTTCTTTTTTGAAAAAGCCAAACAGCAAAGCAAAATCAGAAATGGTTTTCCTTTTAAATGCTGTATTGCAAGCATGATCTCGTTGAAGCACAGCCTACATGTCAGTGTACTGCGGCTAAGGGAAACAACTGGAGGTGATAAATTGACCATTGATGAGAACAGATAAGGCTCTAACCATAAACACCACAGGGCCTAATTGATCAGCTTTTCTTCCTGCTATTGTGAATGTCTGATGACCACATGAGGGAGCCAATGTTTCTAATCAGAGCACCACTTTCATTTGAAATTCAGATTATTAGAATACTGTCTTCATGAGGTCAAGGCAACTCTTGTTCAGTAAGATGTCATAGAACAGTAAGGAGTAAATGAAGACAGACCTCGGGGTGGGGAAGGGATTACTAACTCTTGTAATTCCTGTTGCAGTAATTGTTTCTTTCTGTTAATCAGGCAACCAGTAACCAAACACACATTTAGGCATTACCGAGTACTAGGCAAAGGTGGATTTGGAGAGGTGAGTACAGAAGTATCTTTCTATGAGGCAATCCTGAAGGGAAATAAAAAAGTTAATACAGAGGAGGAGCAGGTTTTTAACTCTTGACTCTAACAATCTACATTTAACACGTCACGGGGCAAACTGTCATCAACCCAAACTGTTTTCTTTTGTGTTTCAGTATTGTAGGTCATGCACAAAGTTGGAGAAAATGTCCACTGACTAACAACAGTTGCTTCTGTTTAGAAATTTCATTTGGCAATGGGAATGTAGTTTCTACTTAAAAATTATGTAGAATATTCATGAACCTGATAGGAAAATCTATAGATTTTATTCATTCTGTTGATAATTCATTGGGGTTTTTTTCCCCCTGTGTGCTTTAACCAGAGCCCTATATTGAAGGGGAAGGAGGGTTACTAAATTATCATTATCTTTTTCCTGCTTGATTATGGCATGGATGTTTGTCCTCTGACCTGCTTGCCTTGACATACAGTGTTAGCACAGTCAGGTGTTTCACCAACACAAGATCCACAGTTCTACTGAACTATTCAACCCAACAAAAATGAGTTTGCTCCTCTATAATCGCTTTTTCTACTTCTGTTGCAGCTTTTGTGACCCTTCGAAGTTGTTTCATGGGTGAAAGCTCTGTATTGATGCTTTCAGAGTTTCATTTTCTGAGACCATTCAAGGGTGTGAAAAAAGAAAATAGAATTTTATCTTCTTTAAAAAAAATTCTAAAAGAAACCCCTAGCATCTCTGACACACCTTCCTTCTTTTTTAGGTGTGTGCCTGTCAAGTACGGGCAACAGGAAAAATGTATGCTTGTAAAAAGCTAGAAAAAAAGAGAATAAAGAAGAGGAAAGGAGAATCAATGGCTCTAAATGAAAAAAGAATTCTAGAAAAAGTGAATAGTAGGTTTGTAGTAAGTATCTACTTCTGATCTTATTCTCAGAAGTTTCTCTTGCTTTGCTTGCTTCGTTTCAGTCTCTTCCAGGAGCTTGTGGGCACAAGACATGTTTTAATTGATTTAGAGAACGCGTGACTGCTGAGATAAATGATTGATGTAATAATAAGTATGTTTTGTGTGTGATTGTGAGTAGTTCTGTGCAGAGGGCTTTTTATATGCAATATTGAATTGGTTTTAGTCTGCCTGCTTTATTTCTCACTTAAACCCAAAACATTAGGTTGTGTTTCAGCATGCTGATGCTATTGAATCTTTGTCCTCTGTTTAAAAGTGAATAGATTATTCTGTAATACTCAGACTTGAATAATTACTTAAATTCTATTTCCGCTGCAGCCTATGACTGAGTGTGTTTGCTTATGTTTAATAAAGAAGATATTCCATATACTTTATTCCATCCTATTTTTTCCTTCTCTGATTCTCTTCTCTGCTGCTTCTTCCAATGCATTGCTCTCTGTTTTCTTCTCTTACCCCCTTCTTCCCTCCCATACACCTATTTTCTTATAATTAATGCTGATTTCTCATTTAATTTTTGGAGGTCATTCATAAATGCACTTACAAAGAGGTGACTTCATGATTCTGCCATTTAGTTGCCATTAGAAGTTGCATATCCTGCATTTCTGTGACTTTTAATAGTAGAGTTTTTATATCCTTAGGTATTTTCATAGCATTTGTTATATACATTTTAAGATAAACATGAAACTTGACTAGTATATCGATTCAGGTTAGTTATATTGCTTTGCTGTCTATTAAGGCTTAAAGAGGTATCTTGGATGTGAAACAATTAACATAACTTTTTAATAGAAATTCCACAGAATGAAAGTCTAATACTTTAACCTGATATTGTCATGTAAATTATGGTCTGTTAGTAGCTCTAATTACTAAGCAGTGAAATAACTTAGAATGATCAAAGATATACCAGGTAAATTTTCCCCCAGGTAATGTTTATCTTTTTATTGAATTGTTGTCATTTAAATGTTAATTTTAAATGCATTTTGCTTTGTTCTTAAATCCATTTACTGATAAATTTTGTATCGCTGCTCAGAGAGGATTTTAAAGTACCTGTGTTAGAGGGTAGTGGAAGTTATTTATAAACAATATATATGTGTGTGTGTATAAAATATGTATGTATGTATTTTCTGATAAGCTTTATGTATTAAAAAAACCCTGTAGAATACTGCCAGCTAAAAGAAAAATTAAGAACCTGCTACTCAGATACATTAGTGCATTTTAAATTATTATAAATAATGTTTTTGTATAAATATGCTAATGTTATTTTCTCACAAGGCTCTTGGGCTTGAATTGATTGAAACTGAATCCAGAATTTACCTGAATTGATCCAGAAATTACTAGTTGTAGAGATACGTGAGATAAGAGTGAAACTTCTATTTTGAGTAATATTTTTCCAAGATATGTAAATATTATAAATCAATAATTGATCAAAGTTGAATTTGAAATCACTTTATAGGATTGAGCATAAGTTATTTTCCTCTTGCCATCCAATGTTTTTTTGATGCAATAGAGAAGATCTAGATCTAGGATCTGCAGTAATACTAGGTTGGAAGTGGGTAGATAATTTGTCGTGTCTGTGTCACAAGTGAAGTCATTAATAGCTGGACAGGTCAGTTTAAAACAACCAAATAGGAACCCTTGCCCTGAGTAGCTGATTTGTATATTTATTTCATTTCATTATTTAGTATTGGATTTATGCTTCTGAAGGAAGAGTTTGGACTTATTACTGAGTTATGGCCTTTAGGTACTTGTACTGCATTTAAAAATACATTTATTGAGTCAAAAAAAATCCTACTGATTTTTAGCTAGCTTATACTTAGCTTACATTAGGTAAGTATGTTTAAATCCCGTTGCTTTCAGTACAAGTTAGTTAATCTCTGTAGGTAATTTTGAAGATCCTGCCCAGATGATCACCAGCACAGCATAGCTTTTTCTATTGAAACTGAGTTTGTATCTTAAACAACATATGTTAAATTTTGCAATACATTACATTGTTTTAAAATTGTTTTTCTTTAAATTCACAAGTCTACTTTAAAACATTAAATGCACTTTAAAAACGTTTACCTAAAACCTGAAGAAAAAAACAGTATGGTGTTCTTCGTTCTCTATCAGCACCGCATTCCAAATACAGTGAGAAAAAAGGCTATAAAGAGCTATACTAAGTCTTTACTGTTGGTGAGTGCTAAGCCAGGGTAATATGCAGTTATTTGGGGAGGTGGGGGGAGAAATAGAAACTACACATTTGATCCTAAATAACTTTTTTAGTTTCTCTAAAGTAGGGCAACTTTGAGTCTTGTAGAAGTTCAGGAAGATGGTTTGACAATGCATAATTCCTGAGGTATTAATAAATAAGGTATATGTGCACATTATCTTTACAAAGACTAACATAGATAATGTGCAGCTGAGGGGCATCATCAATAAATCTATTGTCTGGATGGAGCTCTGTAGTATATGTCACTAAACTTTTGTATGGTGATGTAGGGTTTGTGTATACATGCTAATTAGTCTGAATTCCTTTGTGTCTTCAAGTGCTGGACAGGAGCAATTCTCTACTTGGCTGTTTTGTTCTCTGTTGTTTTAAAAAAGGATTTGTATGTTGCCTGTGTTGGAAAAAAAGAGCTGTGAATTGTATTGGGGTTTATGAATGAATAATGGTCGTCTTCTCCCCCTGCCCCATTTTTAGGTTAGTTTATCCTATACATATGAGACGAAAGATGCCCTGTGTTTAGTATTAACCATAATGAATGGAGGGGATTTGAAGTTTCACATATATAACATGGGAAATCCTGGCTTTGATGAAGAAAGGGCTATTTTCTATGCTGCAGAACTGTGCTGTGGTCTGGAGGATTTGCAGAAGGAGAGAATTGTTTACAGGTAAGTGTCATCTACAGTCACTCATACCTTGAATTTCCCATGTCTGTTCAGCATTGAATGTATTAATTCTTTTCTACTAAAACAAGTTTATACTTCAACTTCATAGTAAAAGAAGCAAAAAAAATTGTTTAGTTGTCCTTTTCATGATATGTGCTTCAGAATTACTGATCTTATTTGTCTTCTTACTGTTAATTTAGGTCTAGATACTTGCTATAGTCTAAATCATTATAAAGTTGATTCAAGGTTTATTTGTAAAATGATAGTAAATTGTGATTTACAAAGCAAATTCATTAGTAATTCAAATAAATAAGTTTTAGGAACATGGGATTGTTTTCCTACCTAAAGTAGAAGTTCACAGAAGGCTATAGAAGTCTTTTGCTGCATTGCTTGTTACGCCCAAGAGGGTAAAAAGTCAGTTATAATCCATATTGCCCTCTTTCTTCTGGTTTTATTTCAGGTTCCTCCAATAAACGCTTTATTGCTTTTGAATTAATGAAACTGCCAGAAGCCTCATGCATTGAAATTGAGATTGTATGATCTTACTTCTCTTTTCTGTCTCTGTGCATGCATCATTTAACCCCTGGCATGCGTTAATATTACAGAACAAGCGAAACAGACTTAGTGGTGGACCAAGAACGCTTTCTTTATCTTTCTGGTGTGTAACACCAAGTACCACTTGTTTTCCAACAAAATTTAAAGTATAATCCTGCATAACTTTAAGATAATGAGTCTTAGTCTTTTCCCTCCCCAATATAGAAGACTAACATACACACAGCAGAAAGCAGCAGAACCACAGAGTCAATCAGGCTTATGCTGGTGGTTGTATGTGGTTCCCTAAAGAATTTGGCCAATCTTGCAATGTTACACAGTGGGTTTTGGCATGCATGTAGGAGGGAAGCAAGGGTGAATGGTTTTGCTCATCATTCTCCTCATGTGGATCAGCTACAAGTAGGTCATTTCACATTGCCCAAGTGAAAACAAAACTGATTGTTTAAAATACAAAACAACAACAGAAAAACCCCAAACAAAACAAAAACAACCAAAAAAACCCACAGCCCTTGTGTTTAAGCCCAACTTGTTAGCTATTTGCCTACAAGACAACCTTCAAACGTATGTCAAATCCCAGTGTTCTCTGTCTGTAATTCCAGATCTTGGAGTGGTTGTGGTTTCTTTTGGAGTGGTCTTGGTGTCTAGATCTCTGCCCTATTTTGTGCTATTACATAAGCAATTTCCAATTATTAAGAATTTGCATGGCCTTAAATTTATCAGCAAGGAAAAAAGTCATTTCACAACCAACTCTGAGTAAAATTGCCTCTTAATTAAAAGAATGGGAATTATTTTTAGTCCTCTGTTCATAACAAAATGAAGGACCAAGAGACAGTTACCTGTACATGTGTTAGTAACTGAATAATTTGTATGCTCGGAGGAAAAAGAAGAGCTTAAATTTAATCATAATACCTGAAGGCGTTATTTAAACATTACAGTATAGAGCATACTAAGGGAGTTCCTGCCCAGTATGTAAACAGACAAAGAGAGACTCGAATTATACCATGTCAGCTCCACTACACTTGAGTACTAAAAGTAGAAAATGTTTGGATAATTTTATTTTACGTTCTCTGTAGAATCACTTTCAGCCCTGTGCTTTTTAATATCTAATGACCAACTTTTTGTAAAACAGAGTCTTGTTTCTTCTCTTTTGCTAGTGGTAGTTTTTTTCCTGATGGTCTTGATTTGTTTTTTCCATATGTATTTCTTTTTGTATCATGCATGTAGGAGCATAGCTGTAAATTTTATAGTTTTAAAGTGAAGAAGCCAAAACAGGTGGCCACGGAAGTCTTCAGAATGTCACCAATTACAGTGCTATGTTACAGGATCTGAATTCTCTATCAGGCATCTTAATGGAAATGCATTTAAGCAGCAGTACAGTAATTTAGTGAAGCAGAAAGCTTGGGAAAATTTGCCGTAATTATTTTATTCTCACCAAAGAAGTTATGCTGGCAACCTCTAGTCTTAATGTTGTTGTTGGGGGGGAACATAATGAAGCACATTTTCATTGATTCAATGATTTATTTTTCCGAATTATGGTAACTAATATTTTTCATTCTCCAGGGCAAGAAAATACAGATGGAATGTTTTTCTTATTTTGCTGTCATTTTGAAAGCATTTAATACTGGTGGGATCACTGAATTTCTGAAATTGGAGCTAGTTCCTTCTCGTGTTGCCATAGCTCAAGATCTATTACTGCATTTGTTTTCCAGCTTTAAAGGAGGAGTTTTAAACTCTCTTTTTAGGCAAATAGCTTAAACTGTTAAAGCGGACTTTACTTTTGTAACATACTGTTAGAAAATATTTTCCTGAGAACATGTTTTTATGGGTATCCATCTGTATATTCACAGTGAAGTGTACTGTAGAGGCAATGGAAGAAGGGAAATTCAGAACTTAAGAAAACAGAAATCCTCGGTGCAGACAGGTGTCAGCAGATAGCAGTAAAATCGGTTCATCTTGTCATTTTGTTCAGTTCTAGAATGGCAGTTTGAATGTCAGTCATGTTAAAATTTATTATAAATTTATTATATTTGGGATGTGTCACCATCCGTAGCAAAATGCCTCATAAAGTGGAAAAACTAGGCCTACCTTTCCTCTCTGTTAACACCAATTTTTATTGCGTGTTTCATGTGTCTTTATACCAGTTGTTACTGAATTTCAAGCAGTGGCGTTAGTGTAGGACCCTGGAGTCAGTTGTGCCATTTTGTTAGTGGGGTTCCCACTGGATTAAACGAACAGGTGCAGAGCTGGAAGGAGGGCCCGCGCCGCCTTGCCAGAGCGATAGAGCCAGTTAGCTTGTTCAATGGGAGCTTGCGAAACTATCTGTAACTTGCCATATGTTGCTGACATTAGAAAAATAAGCAAACAGACAGGATCAGGCAGTAGTGGAGCTATTCATCCATCTGCTACATGAAAAAGTCTGATACTTAGAGCAAAGTCAGGATTTGCATAAGACGGAGTGGGGAACGAGTGCCTGCTTTCCAAAAGGGACTTAATTGCTGGACTTCTGCAGGAGTTACCTGACTCTTCAAGGATGGTAGTGGTTTTTATCAGATAAGCTGCTTGGATACCTAGATTTTCCTCACAAACTCATGTAGGCGCCCATAGTGCCACTGAATGTGCCTGGAAGGTCAAAGATCCGGCTCAAAGACCTGCTGAAGCTGTAGTGGATAAACCAAATAACTCCTTGCCTGCCTCACGCCTAAGCTCAGAGTGGACATCTCTACGGTGAAATCCCCTGAAGGATTTTTATCCAGAAATTTTCTCTGTAGGAAGGCTGGTGTAAGCTATAGCAAAAATACACCAGTGCTTGTTTAGTCCGATTTAAAATAAATATATAATTTTTATCTAGCTCCTTTTAATGAACCTCTTAGTTTTGTGAGCTTTGCAGTTCTCCAGCCTTTCTCTGCTTCATAAGGGAAAACTGCTGCCTCAGTTGCTAGAATTGCATTGCTAGCTCTCGTTCTGAGCTTGGTTTTCAGCTCAAGTAGCCTGTTATCCAGTGCAGGACTAGCGTCTGTGTATTCCAACACAAACTGTGACTTTGGCATCTGTCGTGGTGGAGGAAGGGAAGTGCAAGAAGGCTAATACCCCAAAGCTAGCATCTCGGAGCTAGAATTTCTAGCTGAATGCTTCCAAAAGCTGACTTCTTTGCAAATGGCTAGGCCTAGAAACTAGTAGCATTAAAGAGCTGGAATTTTGGCTAGAAACAAGTTTTGCTATTGACTATTGACCGACCAAAATCATGTCAGAACAGAATTAGCTTCTATTAAGCAGCAGATGTTGCTAGTAAGTATTAAGCTTTAGGTTAGGCTTTAATCAGCCTTCTTGGAGACGGAACTCTTTAGACTTGTTTGCTTGAGTTAACCTGAGCATATATTATGTGCTTTGAAGTAGATGTGTTTCTACCTGAAGTTTGAGCTGAATTTTCTTTTTCTTTTTTGGTACTGGTGTGGGGTTTTTTTTTGGTTTTTTACTCTGATCTCTCCTGATTTCTCTGATATTGTAATCTCCTATCTAATGTCAAATGATTAACATTATGATGACTGTCTAGTCTTAAAAGTATTAGGAGGAAAGTGTCTTGCTGACTTCTTTATACAGTAAATCTCATGAAATAATGAAACTTTAACCTGAATACACATACTTCAGAACATCAATTTATCAATGTTTGGGAAAAAAAAAGCATACGGATTTCTTGGTGAACAAATCTGTGTGCAATTTCTCTCATTTTGAATGTAAGTTCTGGAGTTGTTCTTCCTGAAATTGCTTCTTTTACATTATACAGTCTTTTCTGCTTGTATATAAATAACTGTTATTATCATAACTGTACATATAGCCATATATGTACATATTGTTTTTAATAATCTGTGCCATTAACAACTGAATCTTTAGCCAAGTACTGATTTTTGCTTGTATATTTCTGGCCTTACCATATTTATATCGAAATAAATCTAAAAGACTGTATTGCAGTCCACATACTTTCTGATGCATATCACAATTATATATATAATATATATGACATGTTTTATACATATATTCTATGCATATATATATTATATATATATATATAAATACCTATGTTCTCAGTAGAATCTGCTAGAGGATAAATCCTAGAAGTAACCTCTGAATAGGTTCTGATTCAGCTTCAGTGACTCCTCAAATTTGCCTGGGCGCGGGGCAGGAATCCAAATATCCCATTGAGTTTCTTCTTTTGTTCTTAAGTAAAAAATGTACAAGAGGATGCCTATAAAATGCAGAATTGCAACACTGAATTAATCGCCCTTTTTGCTATTTCCTGAGTCTTGCTAGCATTTAATAGCTAAAAAATGTTTCATGTGGAACTTTGTTATTTACAGAAAAGTAGTAGAGACTCCTAGAAAGTTGATTGCAATGAATCCTAACTAGATACAAGTGTCTAGTAAGCTTTAGAAGCTGCACATCCAAATTGAAGGAATAGGGTTTGAATGGATGATATCAAGCCTATGCTTAGTCTTGGGAATATTACTCTTTGATATTCTGACACCTTGAGATGGAATACAGCAAGGGGTCAGCACCAAACTGCAGCAGGCACTGATGTGTTTTATCGTCATGGAGTTGTATGACTGATACTCTCAGGAGAAATGTCTTTCACTTATGAGCACGAATTTGGGTGTAAGTTGGTGGCTCTTCATATGAGGATTTTAGTGTTGTGTAGAGGGAGTTTCTCATCTGTGAAATATTAATTGCTGTTGTTAATATAAATGGATTAGAGAGTTGGGAAAAAATGGATCTCAAGAGTTCTATGGTTAAACTATTTGTATTACAGGTTGTCAACTTCACAAATTTTTGTATATAGGTGGAAACTGGGAAAATTGTTTTAATCAGAACCAAGAAGTCTTATGTTGCCTTAGTTCCACTTGATGATGGCTAATAATTTTGCATTTGTATAATTCTATACAAATATAGAATATTTCTATTCTGTTTAATTTGTAGAGACTTGAAGCCTGAGAATATACTCCTTGATGACTGTGGTAAGTAAATATTAAAATGAATTTTAAGATTGGGAATTATAAATCTCATTAATACTGTGCCAGAAATCAACGGCATTTCTTTATAATAAAAGCAACCTGACTGACAAATGTGAACTTTAATTAGTAAAGAAAAAACTGCCCTTACTTTTTAGAAAGTAGGGGGAAATACTGGGGTTCGGAGGGACGACGATGACGATTTCCCACCTTAAAATGCCTACTTTTCCCCTTTCACTCCTCCTTCTCACCCCCACCCCTTGATTTAAGATGGCTAAAACTCTTATATGGATTTGTTCTCTGTTTGTCTTGTCTTTGACTATGGAAACATGATTTATTTCATGTGAGGCCAGCATTTTACTTAGTAAACTTTAATTAAGCAATAAAGGAGAAAAGAAGCATCCCTGTTTGTTTTAATTTCAACTAAAACAGGTCTGATGGTCACTGATGCATATGTGGCTGGAAGGAATCAAGGAAGTGCAAACAATATGAAGAAGTGTTTGTAGTTTTTTGTTTTTTCAAAAACCAAATTAATTTTCTTCAATGACTTTGTATGAAATTTATCAGAATCTTTTGAATTCACTGTAGAACATGTGCAGCAACTACCTCCTTCTAAGCAGTGGATGAATATTACCAGCTTGTTCTTGTAATTGCAGAGTATTTTAGTTAAGGAAAAACTGTTTTTGAAGTCATTAGCACAATTTTTTTTTTAAAGTCAGCATGTTCTGACTGATAGATTTCTAAAAATGTGATGCTTGGGAGAAGTCACTTGCCAATAGCTGAAGCTTTGCTAGACATCAAATGCATTCTTTAATTTTTCTCTCCAGCAATGTCTTGCAAAGCTGAAGGCTTCTTTGAGGAAAAATGTGGCCTTGCAGGACTTGACTAGAATGCTTTCTCTCTGCCAGGGATATTCTGATCTTGTTCCAGAGAGCAGAGGGGACTAATTAGAAAATCGCTTCAGGAGCTCAGATCCTGCACTTGAAAAGGGGTTCATCAGATGTCAGGGAAGAGAAAAGCATCTGAATGTATTTAAAATAGCATTTGCTGCTCAAGAGCATTTAGTTATTTCCAACCAGTATATAGAGTGGCACTTGACATTCTCCATTCTCCTTCCCCACCCCTTGATTATCTGTCACATGTAAATAAGAAATTAATATGCTTTTAACTAACATTGATGCTGTGGAGCTTTTTGAATGACAGAGAATATAGGCGAAAAGGACACTCAGGCATTGGAACAGGCTACCCAGAGAGGTGATGCATTGTCCACTCTTGGAGGCTTTCTAGATAAGAGTTTAAAAAGCCTTGAACACTTCGGGCTGACTGCTTGCTTAGAAGGTTGTACTAGAGACCTTCCGAAGTCCATTCCGGCCTGAATTATTCTGCAAATCTGTGATGTCTCCATAAATGACAGTGTCCCTGTCCTTATATCCAGTATTAAAAATAAGTGTGTTTTTTGTTTTGCTTTGGTTTTTTCCCCCTGAATCTTTCTATTACACGATTGGCAATTTTCTGTTTTAAAATTGAGTTGAAAATGTAATTGTCCTTTCTTCTGTCTAGCCTTTTACATTTTTATTAATAAAGTATGTTATGTATCTTTAAATTAGAATCATGTCAATACAATTATTGCCTTGAATTGCTTTGAATCATTTCCTGTTGAGTCTGTCCAGCAAAGAACTGTATCTGTCCAGCAAAGAACTGTATCTGTCCATGGGAATATAAGGGAGGGTGGGATGAACTTACTCCCATTGCCCTTCTTGAACCGTTTCCCCATCTGAGCAGTGTTGCTCATGACAAATCATAGTCCTCCACCAGACTACTTCTACATTAAAAGGTACTAGTGTAAATGCCATGTGTAATAGGAAAGATAGTCAACTTGAGAAGTTTGGCTTACAAAGTGAAATAGAAGCTGAAGTTATCTACATTAGACTGATTCATGAGAAGGGGAAATCCTAACATTGAACTAACATGTTACAATATAAATAATTCTAAGTAGGTTATGGCTAGGCTACTTTTCTTCTGGGGTGGGAGTGGGGATAGCAATTCCGGTTACTTGTGCCTAGCATTATTAGGGTGCTTTGTTAGAGGAAAACCTGATGTCTCAGTACAGGCCACAGTTTTCTTATATGTGGAATAAATGGAGTAAATAATTCTGATGTTTTGTTAGGAAGACAGAAAACTGTTTGTGGCTGGAATACAGAATGGAAAAATCCAAGTGTCTGATGTGTAGATACAGAACTTGAAATGAGCAGTCATAATTTCTGTTTGTCTTAGAGTAGCAGCCTATGCCAAAGCTAGGAATTAGAGTACTTAACAGCAAATCTTTTTGCATGACCTTCAGGAAATGAGTTAGATCTGTGCCTCTCTTCCTTTACGTATTTAAGGGAGGGTTGAATAATGATAAATCACTTCTTTCTAGTTAAGTAACGTTACTGCTATGAGTATATGAATGTTTGGATGTTTGGTGGCTTTTTTGATGAGGTATGCTACAGAATTTTTTTTGTTTTAAAGGTGGTGATATTTTATTATTTGCTGACTATGTATAATTTATTTTAACATAAATAGGACATATCAGAATTTCAGATCTTGGATTAGCTGTGCAGATTCCAGAAGGAGAAACGGTCCGAGGACGGGTTGGGACTGTTGGTTACATGGGTACGTAAAGTATCCTTTGCTAGTTATGTTTTACTGGAAAATTTGCTTCTGTGAATACATGAATGACTTGTCTAAAGAACTGTATTTGGTCTTGATTTGTTACTAGACATTTTATGGGAAGAAAGGTTATGCAGTGGTAGGTGTTAATAGTCAATTATAAGCCTACTGATAAACTTGAAAACTTAACTCTTTGAAATTCTAGCTTTAGGTAGAACTTTAAGAAAGCACCTAATTTTTTTCTGAGGTTCAAAGAGATTTAGGGTCACAGGTAAGCAGATGAATTACTATGACAACACATTTCTTTCCATGCTTTGGAAAAACTGCATTTTTAGTTTGTAAACAATACTGATCTTAAGTGTTAGAGAACTTAAGTGCTTCTCTTGGATATAAACGGAATCCTTGCTCTAGAAATCAATGTTTCTTCAAAGTATAGAGGAGTTGCGCAAAGGTCTCTGCACAGACCCAAAAGAATGCCTGAGAGTTTTTTCAATATTTAATTAGTTAATTTAAAGTGAATTGTCATGGGGGGTTCTTTGTTTTTGTTTTGTAGCTCCAGAAGTGCTCAAAAATGAAAAGTATACATTCAGCCCAGATTGGTGGGGTCTTGGGTGCTTGATTTATGAAATGATTGAAGGACAGTCTCCATTCAGGAAGCATAAGGAAAGGGTCAAACGGGATGAGATTGACCGGAGAGTAAAGGAAGACCAGGAAACATATTCAGACAAGTTCTCAGAGGAGGCAAAATCCATCTGCAGGATGGTGGGTGAAGAGACATAGAGGTTTGAAAATTAAATTTCTAATCCTTTTTAAGAGATTAATGACTTTATTTTAACATCTTCAACTGAAAATTTTTCAAAGCTGGAGTTCTTAAATCTTTGTTTGGTTCAGATGGAATTTTGTGATTGTCCATGAATTGTTATCAAACTTTGAGAATTCATAACTTTTCAAGATGAAGGAAAGCTGCATAAGTTGATTTTTCATCACGTGAATGAAAAAGGTCCGGTACTCCTTGGACTACATGTAATTACAGATGGAGTACAATAGCATGTTCAACTTTGATACTGTGTGGGGAGAAATAGCATAGTAGTATACTTGTTTCCTTGCCTAAAGAGTGTACAAGACAACAGCTTCTTTTTTTTTTTATCTTGCATGTTCTTAAATTTAGTAAGAAGCACGTCTATACACAAAGCTTCAAAAGTTTACTAGTTTATACAAAATATGTGCATTACTTAAGCCCATTGGAAAAAAAGGAAGTCTATATTTCCTGAAAGTAAAGTCTACTGCGAAGTCTGTACTGTAAAATCTATTTAACATGGTATCAGTTAAAATATTTTAATATAACTTTGGGTATAATCTTCAAATGGTCTGCTTTCAGGGCTTCTTTTGTCTACTGAAAGTCTTTTTGCTCCTAGAATGTTGTAGTTTGGATTTCCAGTTCATTTTGATACCATGATAAATTTCATCTAATAAAAGGCCAAGTAACAAAGTAAACTTATTGAAAGACATTGTGTATAGATTTTTATTGTTTTTAATTGTGGGATTATATCACTGGATCAGCCTTTTTTTCCATATCTTTGCAGTTACTTGCTAAAAATCCAGGGGAGCGACTGGGTTGCACTGAAGATGGAGCTGCTACTGTAAAGCAACACCCTATTTTCAAGAATATTAACTTCAAGAGGCTGGAAGCTAACATGTTAGAACCTCCGTTCTTGCCAGATGTAAGTAGGTGAGACAGATTTGATTAGTATCTAAAAAGGCAAGAACTGTCATAATTTTATGTCAGCAACCGTGAACTCCACAGAAACCTTTAAAGTTAGTTAAATCGGCAGGAGAATGCCATTGTAGCTATTGATGGCTAGTTGGTTTGTGGCATTTCATCTGAGATCACAAAACAATTTACAATAGTGGTATTGCTCTAGGGAGCTTTGTGGCTGATTTCTTAGCCCCTAGTCTACTTCCCTAGCTCAGATGCTGAACAAATGAAGATTAGCTTTGAAGAAATTACTCTGGAGCTGAAAGGAGGGTGACAGAAGATGAGTGAATTATGACAACCATTAAGAAATCCAGAGAAGTTGCATGCTGTTTTCTGGTTTTGATATGTCTTTTCTGTTACTTGCAGGATGGATGGAATTGCTCAGGTGCCTTATGACGAGAGTCTTTTAAGTTTTTGCATTTCTGTTTTGTAGTATAGTGTAATTTGGTGATCAGCAATGTGAAATATAAAAGTGAAGACATTTTGCTCCTCCTTTGCTCATCTAGGAAATAAACAAACAAACAAACACCCCAAAAACCAACCCCACAAAAAACCCCAAATGTCCAAAACCAAAAACCAAAACCTTAATGAAGCAATCTTGTATTGTACTGCAGCCACGTGCCGTATATTGTAAAGATGTCCTGGACATAGAGCAGTTCTCAACAGTAAAAGGAGTGAACCTGGATACTACAGATGATGACTTCTATTCCAAATTTGTTACGGGTTGTGTCTCAATCCCTTGGCAAAACGAGGTATTGTATATTTCATAAAAGATTATTTTCTTTAGCACAGCAGTATAGAAGATTTAATAAGGGATATAATTGTAGTATTAACTTTCTCTGTGAGATGTAAAGAAGTTTCTGCTTTAGACCTCTTTGCTGAGAGACTTCAGAAAAAAGATTTTTCCCAAAACATAAACAACTTGCTAAAAATTGAGATCTATGGTAAATTTGCATAAATAGAATCTGGCATCTTGTCATCATAGATACAGCCTACAGAACAGTATTTAGCATCAGTATGACCACATTTTCCTTGTTCTTCTATCACATGTTTTTCAATATTGCTGTTCATAGGAAAGGTATGGAATGCTATTCAAAGTATTCAAAAGCAAAGAGGCGCAGTGCAAGCTGTTTGTGTATCATGCCTGTATATCAATAGAGTATCCAAGAGCCATAGCAATACAGAACTGCAGATTCAACTTTTCTAAGGTTTCAAAACAAACAGTCCAACACTGGTTGAGTCAGACTTTCTCTTAAAGCTTTTTCATCTGCCTAGTGAATAGGTATTCTAGTATTCTGCATAGAATACTAGAATTTTTCTACCTCTGTGTGCAGTTCAGTCTGTATTTAGGAAATTCTCATCTTTAGTATTTCAGGAAGAGTACTCAGTAACAATTATTTAAAATTGTAGTTCTTGTTATGAATGCCTTCCCCCTATTATAAGATGTTCATAACTTTCTGAGATTAGTATAGTCTTGAATTCTACTAGTGTAGTTTTTTTCCCAGTATGATTTTTTAATTTTATTTGAAGCTTGAATGCAAAAGATGAGCAATTTCTGAACAAGTCAGACAAAAAAGTACATTCCCTTTTGTTTCCCTTTTGCCTTTTTTTGCATTTCATTAAGAAGGAGATCTGAAAGGTGTCACTTGACATAGAAAGTCTTCACTAAGAAGCAATCAACCTTAGGCTGTTGGAGAAATAAATATTTCCTATGCTGTGTTGTAATTCTGAACTTCATAATATGATCCAGTCATTAAGAAATGCCCTGCAGCTTAATAGCTCTAACACCACATAGAGGGATAAAGTTGAAAGTAGTTGTGGAATTCTGGTGATGGTAATTCCTTCTCTTCAAGGAATAACTGTGCAGACTTCATTTTACATTTGTGCTTATTTTTTCTTTTAATTCATGTTCCTGAGCTTCCCCTCAAATCTTTGCTCTCAGTCTTTTAAGAATTCCTCCTCCCCTCCCATACTTTACCTAATGTAATCATTTACAACAAAAGCAGACCACATTCCTTCTTATTTCTCCTTATGCCCTCTCTCCCTCTACAAAGTGTACTCACTTGGTTGCATGCCCGTCATGATAGATGTGTATCAGTGGCACTCACAGATAAATGCCAACTACATGTGGGCATTAGCCACTCTCCCCTGTCTGACCATGCCTGTTTGTCACATTTTGGCATTTACTCTTTCTGCTTTCCTTTCTGCACCTGGTAATTGTATTTTTAATTCTTTTGTTTTCTGTATACACAAACACGGATGATTTCGAAAGCCCCTCCTTCTCTCCAGAGACGTGTCTTCATTATATCTTTTTTTTTTTTTCCATGAAGTATTGCCTTCTCTATCTCATTGCCTTATTTTCAATTATGGTATATGTTGTGTTTTGATAGACAGTTGCCCAAAACACCAGAATGATGTTTAAATTACTGTGGTCAGACATCAGCTGCTTTTTCCCCAAGCGTGCAATTCATCCCCTTTGTAAAAAGTATCCCCCCTAATACTATGCAGGTACAAGTATTCTGCATAGAATAATCATTTCTCTACTCAATGTCATGTTTATTAATGAAGTTCAGTCCAGGGTATAGAGATACTACATTTGTTAGGCTAGACTGCTCTGAAATGAGAATAGATGAAAGGAAAATCAATTCCTGGTTCTAAAGACTCCTGCTTATTGCCTCATGGGCAGAAGAAATGCCTTACCAAAGCAAGGGAGCATCTGAGTACTTACCTGCATGATAGTGCTCTCGTTGCTATTCTTTAGTTCGCTCGAGGCACAGGAGAGTTAACGTAGACTTTGTGCCTGCCTTCGTGGAGCTCTGCGAGTGGTGTAGTTTGGCTGATGAATTTGTAAGTGGTTAGGAGTGCCCAGCCGAAGTAAATAGATCATACGTGGAATGTGTTTGAGAGGCTTGTATGCATATTTCATTTCTATTTCCTACGTTTCAAAGATGATTGAAACAGGATGCTTTGAAGATATCAATGCATATGAAACTGATGGTACTGTGTCACCAGACAGAGAGAGGTCTCCTAAACCAAAGAGAGGCTTCTTTCACAGACTTTTTAGTGGAGAGGTAAGGGTATTTCTTTTCTTTCATGAGAAAATTACCAGTAAGACCTTAACGTCCATTCCACTTTTATATTATTTTGTCATAGGAAAAACAAGTTGTTCGCTGAACACTGAAAGTAATGAAATCTGGTTTATTATGGCTTTGCCCCTGCACTGCATTTCAGAAACTGTAGGAATCCCTGTAACTCCAGGAGTTTTTCCTCCCTCAGCATTCTGTCTTCCTCTAAGTGTCTGCTAGCTGTTACCTGGGGAAAAGGTAGTGTGTGCTGTTAATAGCTGTGCTATAGATCTTTTGTTCCTAAAGATATTAATTTGGGTCTTGCTCCTTATGTATTTTCCCAGTTTTTGTAAAAACTATTGGGGAGATAATTGAGGCCCCCTCTGTAAAAACTTCAATAAAATTGACTAATGAACTCAGAAGTGAGTGTGGTGGAGCAATGCAACTCCTAGGACTTGCTCCTTTAGAAAGCTGGGCTCCCAATGAATCATCCCTAGCATATTAAGGAAATATGTAAAAATATCCCCTAAATAAATGACTGTGAAGAAGTTTCACGAAACAACTGTTAAAATTTAACGCCTTTACCAAAACAACAACATAATATATGTTCACATAGCTTCTGATAATGCACAACCTTTTCTTACAGACATACCTTCTACTCTTTAGTAAACACTTTGAGGTATACAAATTGAGTATTTACCACCTAAAAGACATGTGGCATATTGTGCTTGTTTATAGGTTGTGAGAAATAGGCTACTTGTAAAGGTTTTCACTTGAAGATGATGTACAAAATTCTGCTTGCTCAGTATGCCTGCACTTAGAGTGGAATTATCTTGAGAAGCATGAGTATATTCCAGTAGAGAACACTTCTGTAGATATTACTTTTGCTTTTAAGCAGAAATGGAATTTTAAAATTGCTACGAGCATATCATTAAGTAGCCACAACAGGGCCATGTATTAAAATTGCATGATGATATTTTTTACCATCAGCTGGTAATTCACCTCTCTAAAATGGTACAATGCTAATGGAATGTATAATAGTACTGTCATTTTTAGTTCACCTTTTCAAATTCATTTTTCCCCCACTTACAGTAATGGAATAGAAGGAATGCTTAAGTGTACTAATAATCTCGCATAGCTGAAGTTAAAGCTTGTGTCTTACTGTAGTTTTTTCAAGCTGAATCAGCAGAGTTCATACTGTCCCAAGATATGGTTCTATGTATTGAGAAAGAGTCCTAAAAAAATTAATACAGCTGGAGAGCCTTCAGTTGATTTTGAAGTAATAAGACTGCAGTTAATTGTCCTGTGAAGTTAAAAGAAGGAAAGATCTTAAGGTTAAATGAAACTTTAATGACTTGAGATTTGGGGTTGGGTTGTGTTTTTCTTTTATATTCTCAAAGCATTTAGTTAGGATGGAGTAAAATGTGCTGGAAAAAGAGCCACCACCCCAGCCTTTCTGTGCCCCATAACACACACAAACCAACAATAGTGTCAGTTCTGCAGCTAAATTGTCTCTTTGTCTTCTCTTGCAGGTCTGCTTTAAATCTGATTGCAGTGATGATGAGCAGGAGTCCTCCAGACTTTAAATGATTTTGCTCTCATCAGAAAGGATGAGCAAACTTTAAATGTTTTATATCTCTGTAGCAAAGTGTATTATATATTTTTTATCTTAGTTCAAGGATTTTTGTACATTTGTACTTCATTTGTTTTAAGATGTATATTTTCACTAAAACTTAATTGTACAAAAAGCAATGAGTGCCATTTGAGTGAGTGTGTTTCTGTATGTATTTGATTTACCTTGACATTTTTTTCCCAGTGGAATGAATCTAGAAATACTAAAGGATTTTAAAGCACAGAGATAATGTCTATGGCATCAATGTATGCTTTGTATGCTCCTGGTAAAAGTCTTCTTGTTCATTAGGATCTTTATTAGCAGTTTTCTTAACAGTAAAATTGCTGTATTGGTAAATTTCATAATTTCGGTATTATCTATGATTCTATGATTCTGTCTGGCAGCATGACAGTGCTATTACCTAATGTATCTCTCAAGCAACTGCTAAGGAAAAAGGAATTCAGTGCACTGTGGCCAGCTATTATGAATTGCTCTTTACTACATGGCTCTATAGAACGTCTTTCTGTATTTCTGTATATAGAGAATTCTGAACATTTAGCTTAATCCTGTAGCAAACTGTATTACCCCATTCTTCTCCTTTCTACCCATCTTACGCATCCTCACCATACAGTTTCTTGGCATGAACCATGCAAGTAGACCTATGCCAAAATTTTATAACTATATTTTGAGTACTTTTTTGTCTTTACTAGAAGGATTTCTTTTTACCAGTGGGGGCACCTTTTTATTTTGTTCTGTAAATGAAATTGTTTACAGCTCCATGTAGGATGTTGTACATTTATAATGGGTTAAAAAACAGAGCATGGGCTCTTCTTACTAACCTCCTTGGTGGTTATTATGTTGTAATACGCAATGTTGTAGGGTTGACAGCGATCACTGCCACTGAGGGAAGGACAAGGTAGTATTAAGTATCAATTTTAATTATGTAAATAAACTTTCCTTATACTTAAACATTAAAACCTGCCTTTAATGATTGCTTGACACAGATGTGGAGCTGGTATTGAAATTTTAGTTAGGATTACCTGATGTTCATTAGTAAAACTCTTTCCAGCTGCTTGAAAGCTTGTCAAACTTACATTCTTCTGGACTCAAAGTATGCCAGACTTGCTTTTTATTTTGTAAAGTTTCTGGTAAAACTATTAATCTGTGTATGAGAATGAACTTGGGGAACACATTTCAGTAAAAGCCTCTTCTGTTTTCAAAATTTGAGTTAGGGTTTGAAATATAACAGAATGCTCTTGGAGTTGGAGACATGACTTTTGTTATATATTTTGTTCTGTATTCTGAAGATTTGTCTCCACTGAGCATGCATTTTTTTTCCTCTCAGATCTCTAGGGCACCAACCAGACCACACATGTATTATACACACAGAGCAACTGAATATCCCTCTACCTCAAATAGGTTTCTGCTTGCGATCTGCAGACCCACGGGAAGAAACTTAAGCTGCTTCTGAGAAACTCACAAGATACATTTGATACTCGGGTCTATCGTCAGGTTTTAATTAACAGTATTTTTTCTCTAGTGACAAATGTTTTAATGGGTTAGAATTTGAAAAAGTTGGAAAACCAGTGTGTTACAGAATCCTGCTGGGGCTGAGCTGATGTCTTATCTGAAATTGTTCCTCTTGGCTACTGTGCCGCAGAAATGAGGAATAAGACTCTCTTCCTGTGTTTTCAGTGCATTTTTCCTGATGTCTAAAACAGCACAGAGGACAGCAAAATGACTGCCCTAGAAAGTACCAAGGGAGAAACTGGCAGAGGGAGAGTCTGAATGAATTACTGGAAGATAGTCTGATGCAATAGTGAAGGGATGGGAGGCTTGACAGAAAGAGAAATATCTGAAGTAAGGGTGTTGGCTGGAACCATTATGTGTGAGACAATGAGCTGGCATGGTCTGACCTGACCCTCTTTATTAGGTACCACAACAATAGAAGGACTCTAAAAACATGGGAATGGAGAAATAGGGAAGTAACAAAAGTGTTTTATAAACACCTACCAGGTCGGAGAAGTGATCATGTTTCGCTGATTAAGGGCTTTAATTTTTTAAGATCTTAGGTTTTCTGTTCTGAGGCAAAGGTGACCGTATTAACACTGGACATATGGGGTGACAGTCTGGATTTAATGCCTGCTTAGAGCAACTTGAAATTTGGGCAAGAATACCATGGCCACAAGCTGAGCAATTTTTATGAAAAAAAGACAAGAATTGGCTTTAACAAATAAAAACAAAAATCTGAAAGTCTGTTTATCATGTATTTCAAATTTTCTTTCTGTATTGGAGGGGGAGGGATCTTAACTTAAAAAATAAATAACATCAACTTTTCTATTTTGGAGTTCTGAGACTTAACACTTATTATCCAGGGATCTGTGAAGAAAAAAAGGCTAAATGAAAAGAAAAGGGAAGTTGTTCCTAAGAAGTGGTTATTTATACATCCACTTTTTTGGATGAGGAACTCCAACCATGCAAAAAAGTGGAGGATTTGTTTGTTTTTATGAAGCTTTATTTGGTTTTATTTCGCAAGTTTTTTCTTATGTTCCGAATAATACTGTTGAATTGTTTTTGAGTAAGTACATGTTTGCAGGATTAGGACCTAAATTCTGTTGGTTTGGGGGGTGGGGGGGTGGTGTGTTTAGTCCCACCCCCAGTAGGCTCAAGATGGCATTTTTCTACTCTAAATTTGTCCCTTTTGGCTAGAAATATAACCACGTTATAATGACTAGATATTATCTAATGTGAATCCCCTAATGAAATAGAAAAGACAAGAAACTGGAAGGATCAGCATTAACTCTCCCTATACGGTACATGGAGATTAAGATGTTATGCTGTTTAATCTAAGGTGACTAACGTTGATTAAAGGTCTTTACTGGAGTATTAGTAGCTTGGAGATGCATTTTGAAAGCGGGGAAAGGGTAAGGAGAAGGGAGAGCACCTGAAAGCAAACTATCGTGGTGTGATAAGCTTAATATGAACTTTGCTCTTGATTTTTGTAGGATACAACTGATATAAAGAAGGGGGAAGGTAGCAGGTTGTGTATTCTGATTATGTGGCCGTTTATTTCCATGAAGCTGTTTTGTTTTGGTTTTTTTTTTTAAGAAAAAAAAAGCCAACATAAATTCTTGTCATTCAGTATGACTTCATTATACCTCCATGAATTCAGATTCTAGATCCACGTTTTAGAAGGCTTTGACAGCAGTGAGACAATCCAATAGCCCAACTGCTTTGTTCTACTGATGCAAGATATGGAAATATCTATGGAATTCCGTGGAGTTACTTGCATGAGATCAACCCTCCTTTTCTGTGGCTTGTGTTTCCAAGCATTTGTGTATGTAAGTCTTAATGTCTGCTTGTGCATACCTCATGAATCTATATATTTAGCTCAAAATTCAGAAACTGTGAAACAATGTACCAGTATCTTATTGGTTTACTTAATGCTTTTGAATGTTGTGACCAACAGAATAGAATCTTTGTGCCTCAGGGTTGTTCTTTCTATAAAAAAAAAGGTCATTTTTTTTTTTCTCCCTCAGAGGTGTAGTGTTCATAATAGAGATGGTGTTATGTTTCTGGATTATAACAACAACAAAACAGTCTCAGCTGAAAAAATGAGCACTTAAAAATAATTACTGTAGAATAATAAACAGGAAAAAACCTGTGGTATTTCCATAACAAAGAGAGCACTATTCACAAATCTTAGCCTTTAATAGAAGATGCTGCATGTCTGGGGTTTTTTCCAAATCATTCTTAAAACAATGGATGTGAAGGCTTTTGATTATGAAAGAGAATGATCTCCATCTCAGAATAAAATTATGTCTAATTTGAGAAATCAATGATAGAAGCTATTAAAACCAACTAAAAATCATTTTTTAGAATGCACTTCAATTATTTTTCAAACAATACTGATGTAAGAAATTTCTCATTGCCATTTGTACAAACGAAGAATACTTGTTTACAAGTTACTAAAATAAGTCAACAGAAGTAATACTATTTTGCTTTGGTTTACAATTTAGTATTACACTAATTTAATATTGGAATTATCACCTTCACTTTAGTATAGATTTTCAGAAAATACTTCTCTTTAGGAAGTACTCAAAAAAATGAATTAAAATTAAAAAAAATAATGGAAAGCATCTTTAAGTTAAATTTATGTTTACTTTGATTTGAATTCCCTGCCTGGCTCATTTTGGTGGTGATGATGTCTCTTCTGCTGAATGTACAATTCTTTTTTTTTATTTCATAATTGTTCTTGTGGTGTAACTTAAGTTTCGCACATGAGATGTACGTAACTTTTCTCATGTTCCACATGTGTCCAAAACACCAGAATTCTTTCCAAGTATAGCGAAGCTGACTGTTAAATGTGATGTGTTAGTTCCAGTATCTCCAAACCACTGAACTGTTCTTGTATGAGCTGTTTTCCTGGATGTTCTAGCATTGTTATTCCTGAAATAAAAGCAAAACACTGCCGCATATCTCAACCACATGCACTACTGTCTAATGTGATTTATTTACCATGTCTATCATGGTAGCTGGGATAGATAAAAATTGTAATTTTTTAAAAAATTGCAATTTGTTGAAGCAGAAAATGTGTATTACGTGCTGTAAGTTCTTTACCAACGTAAGATTGTCAGATCCAGGAAAAACTGCCCTAGCTCTGTCGTATTTGCTCAATTGATATCTTATGGTCTGAATCTTGATTTCTACATAAATTTCTGTGTGAAAAGAGAGAATTGTTGGGATGGGCTGTTTTTCATTAATGCATTTACAGTGATAACACTACGAATGTGAACGCAAGATTGGTCAGTAGTAGCTGTAGCTCTACTTGTCTTCAGCCTTATCACGCATGTTGGATTTTGTACTGTCGCCAAAGGAAACTAACTTCACTCTTCTTGAGAGAATTTATACCTTGGTATCAGTTGGATTTGTGGGGGTTTTGTATCAAATACTTTTCAACAGTAAGCTGCTTATATTCTCAACGTTTTTCCCGGTTGATGCAAAGGCTTTCACTGTAATTTTATGACATGAGTTGAAGGGCTAAGCACTCAATTACTGTACAAAACAGCTTCAAATTAAGTGACTTTAACAATAATATAACCGTGCTATGGCATATTGCAGATTATCTGTCCATAT